CTGGACAAGGCCACGTCACCAGCAACGACACTCCAGAAGCGAAGGGGAGTGTTAGAAACAAGTGATTTAATGCTTCTTGAGCGCCGCAACACCGAACTGTAAACGAGGCGAACTGCGACGCAGCAAGGGTGAGTCAACCGAGGAGGTTGACAGAAAAGTAACAGCCGGAGGTTACGCGAAGGTCAAAGGTCGCTGACCTTTGACTCGACAAATACAGCGCGACAGCAAGGACAAACAACTGACTCGTTACTGAGCAGTTGCCCGAGTCGTCACTGTATCGAACCGCAACAGCAACAGTAAAACAGTTATTTGCACCTTTTGATATTCCTTGTACGGTAATCATATAAAGCTTGTACTTTCCTTCTATAATCAATCTACTTTGCCCTCACATACCAGCGCAAGGTGGTTCAATTCTTATCATTAAACGCTTCCGCAATTACAACATCTTTACTCAACTCAGAATTTAGCCTTGTAAAGTCCTTAAGGGCTTTTCTCAGCCCAACACCAATACACCCAAGGGTTTCTTCTATGCAATAGGCAACTCCCATGGCACACCACTTGTGCAGGCAAGCGTGCCTATGCAGTGCAGTTGGAAGCAAGGCAAAGTGGAGGCACTACTTGGTGCTGGCCAGCTGGGCGAGCCATGGCAGCAGCGCTTGCTGCACGGCCACGGGCTGGTCGTCGTGGGGGCAGTGGCCGCACAGGGGGAGCGTGAGCATGGTGGTGAGGGGGCGGTGCTGCGGCAGCTGCGAGAAGAAGCGCCCCACGGGGCCGTCGAGTGGCGTGAAGGGGTCCTGCTCGCCCCACAGCAGCAGCAGCGGCGCCTCGATTTGTGGCAGCAGGTGCTCCGGGCGCGGGCCAGGTGGGCCTGTGAGCACAGCCGTGAACACGTGCAGCGCCCCGGGGTGCTCTGCTGGCGCACATATCAGCTGCGATGGGGGACGAAGAGGCAGTGCATGGGGCGCAGAACGGTTAGGTAGCACACATAGAAGTAGCTGTGAAGCATGCGACAAGCAGGCAGATGAGATGATAAGAGGGTGCAGAAGGTGATGTGATACTTAACACTAGGAACACACAGATGCAGGACCAACGCATGCATGTCCGCATCATCATCTGCTCCAGCATGCACACCACCACCATCATCACCACCACCAACAGCATCAGCATCAGCATCAGCATCACCATCACCTGCACGAGCATCACCTGCACGAGCTCGCCATCACCTGCACGAGCTCGCCATCACCTGCACGAGCTCGCCATCACCTGCACGAGCTCGCCATCACCTGCACGAGCTCGCCATCACCTGCACGAGCTCGCCATCACCTGCACGAGCATCACCTGCACGAGCTCGCCATCACCTGCACGAGCATCACCTGCACGAGCTCGCCATCGACGGCATCGGGGTTGCTGTACACCGCTCGCAGCACCGATGCCACGTTGTCCCTGGCCGAGGGGAGAGAGAGAGGGGCGGGGGGAGGAGGGTGGGAGGATGCAAAGAAGGAATTGTGAGGTGGAATGCAAGGGACGTAGAATGGATGGACGGCTGGCAGTAGAGGATGGTACTGGCAGTAGAGGATGGTACTGGCAGTAGAGGATGGTACTGGCAGTAGAGGATGGCAAGGAGGGGACCTGGTTCGGGCATGGCTGACCTGGTTCGGGCATGGCTGACCTGGTTCGGGCATGGCTGACCTGGTTCGGGCATGGCTGACCTGGTTCGGGCATGGCTGACCTGGTTCGGGCATGGCTGACCTGGTGCGGACGCGGTTGAAGATGGCAGTGGCGAGGGGAGGGAAGGAGAGGAGGCAGTCGATGAGGAGGAAGAAGGGCAGCGCGGGATGCGCCAGTCGTCCTCTATGGCCTTGTTGTTGAGCCCGCCCGCACAGTTGAGCAGCACCACCCCCGCCACCTGCTCGCCCGGCAGCGCTGCACCCAGCACAGCACACACAGCGGATAGGGGTGGCGACAAGTGGTGCGGGGATATGAGGGTGAGCAGTGGCGCTTGCAATCGCCGATTTGCACGTGGTGGCATGAGTGATGGTTGTGCATGATAAGACGGGCAAGTGGCCGATGGGCACGTAACGGCATGGGAGGGATGCAACGCACATGTGAGGTGCTGTCAGGCTTCTACACGCCCCATACACGCCCATGCCCCACACGCCCATGCCCCACACGCCCATGCCCCACACGCCCATGCCCCACACGCCCATGGCCCACAACTGCCCTCGTCACAACCACCCTCCATTCCCCCCACCCCCACCCCATTGCGCGACCGTCCTGCTGCTGTGGTCCTCACAGCACCTCTGCCTGCCGCACTCTCCCCTCCTGGGCTCACACGCGCATACCTCATTCTCACCCTGCAAGGTCTCCTCTATTCGAAAACATGGACAGTTTGAGGGAAAAGACGAGCAAACCCTAAAACGAGCACAGAGGAGGGGAGTGAAGGAGCAAACCGGCAGCAGCAGCAAGGGCAACGAGGCTGCCGATGGAGTTGCCCACCAGCACCACTCTGCACCGCACCACTTCCGATACGAAGTCCTGCAGCATCTGCTAGGAGGGCAGGCATAGGAGAGGGGGTATGGGAGATGGCGGGGAGAATGAGGGGCGAGCATAGGGGGGAGCATAGGGGGGAGCATAGGGGGGAGCATGTGAGTTGGAGGCAGGCATGTGGTGCATCACCTGCGCCCACGCGTCGATGGTGTACTCTCCGTCGTGCGGCTTGTCTGATGCGCCCAGTCCCAGCAGGTCCAGCGCCACCACCCTCATGCCCGCCCCCGCCACCGCTGCTGCCGTTCTGCCACGGGGAATGGGGGAGAAATAGGATTAATCCTACGGCGCTGACGAAGGCCTCACGGCCGAAACGCGTTCGCCCGCCTACGTTCTTTACTGAAGTTGGACTTATCAAGTCCCGATTCTACATTTTCCCACTCTAAACACCCCTAGCTGTTAGTTAAGAACTTTGAGGAGACTACTCCGCTTGCTGTGGTTCGAACCCATATCCTCGTGCCCACGGGGAATGGGGGAGAGGCGGGGCAGGAGACGAGGAGGTGGAGCACGATAGCGAGAAGATCGATTAAATAGGCTGCGCCACCACCCCTCACCGGCGCCAACCCTCACCTGCGCGCCTGTCACCTGCGCCAGTGCCCCTCACCTGCGCCAGTGCCCCTCACCTGCGCCAGTGCCCCTCACCTGCGCCAGTGCCCCTCACCTGCGCCAGTGGCCCTCACCTGCGCCAGTGCCCCTCACCTGCGCCAGTGCCCGATGGAAGCGCCGAAGCCGTGCACCAACACCACGGCGGGCGCGCCCTCTCCCCCCCGCCACCCCCCCTCGCCGCTCTCCCCCGCGCCCTCACTGCCGGCGCCGGGCGGAATGTCGCAGTAGTTGATGCTCGCGCCGCGCCACGTCCACCGCCGCTGGTGCGAGAGGATGAGGGCGAGACCCGCCGAGACCTCATCGCCGGCGGGCGCGCGCGCGCCGCCAGTGGAGGGGTCCGCCGAGTCACCCTCACGGGCGGCGGCGGCTGCGGCATCCGCGGCGGCTTGCGGGTCGCCGCCAATCAGAGCCGCTGTGCCGGCGGCGGCGAACGCGCGCTGCTGCGACTCGCCTGGCCGACTGTCGCTTGGCGCGTCGGCAGGTCGTTCGCCATGCGACGCGCGCACGACGGGCTGCGAATGGCGACGAAGAAACACTTGCGGCCGCAAGGGCCGCGCGGTGCAGAGCGGTGCAGCGCAGAGGGCGGAATGGAAGGCGCGAAGCGGCGGAGGCGTGAGCGCGAGGGAGGCCATAAGGGTGGTGGCGTGCGGTGGGTGGTGCTGAAGGGTCAGAGCTCTAGCGAAATGAGTACTTGAGGCCTTAGGACGCGGTAAACTTAGACGATCGATCGTCAGTCGCGATCGATGTGCGGATCGGCTACCCTATTTACTTCGCTGTAACCATGCTACAAAACGCTTCTTTGCCAAAAAAATAGTACAGCGTCCGAATGCGACTGATCACTGATCGCGGGAGATCTGTCAATTCTAAAGGGGAGATCGTTACAACTTCGCGGTCGCCACGTTTCGCCAATCAATCTGCGCTCGATATTTGCACTTGCACCGCGTCCTTAGTTCACAAAACACTCACTTCGTTTCGCAAGACCCGCCGCACGCACTTGCCCTCACGGTCAGGCATTGCTTCCTGCATGCCAGGTACACTCAATTTGGAAACTCGGGCGGGTCCAGCCGCGTACGTTTCCATCTGTTTACAGATTCACTCTGTGCGGTTAATCATTTTGCATCACGGTGCAAAACGCTGAAATCAAAAATTGGCTGCACACCGTCCAATTTTGTTTCAAACCACGACGGGTAACTGTAAACAAACTGCAAATGTAAGTGCTGAACACGCCCTCACCGACTCACTCACATGCCCTAATTCCGAGGCAGCGCTTTTTCAAATTAGTGGCCTTAGCGAAATCTCCCCTTGTTTTTGCCTACTCTCGCTCGCCTCCCTCACGCCGCGCGCACTCCTCGCCGCGCCACCACGCCGCTCTTCTCCTGCGCGCGTCGCCCGCCTCGCCGCACTGCGCGCTGCGTCGCGTCGCCTCATCGCCGGGTCGTTGCCCGTCCCCTCTCGCTCAACCGCCCACCGCGTGAGCCGGTAAGGCGATGCTTCATCCACGGCGGCCCAGTGGGAACGGAGAAACATGATTTCATTATTCCTCTTTCCCTGCTCATCTTGCTCTCCCTCCTCGCGCACTCCCGCCGCGCACTCCCTCCTCGCGCACTCCCTCCTCGCGCACTCCCGCCGCGCACTCCCTCCTCGCGCACTCCCGCCGCGCACTCCCTCGGAGCGCCTGCCACACGATCCAATTCCCAATTCCTCCTCTGCTCACTCTCCCGTGCTGCCGCGCGTCCGCGCAGGCCTGTCGTCGCCTGCTGGAAGCGAGCAGCACGTAGCGCCCAAGGCGGGGGGAAGGGCGGGGTTGGAGGCGGCGGATGGCGGTGCTGGTGGAGACGAGCGTGGGCGAGATGGTGATCGACCTGCACACCGACCTCTGCCCGCTCGCCTCTAAGAACTTCCTCAAACTCGCCAAGTCAGTGCCCTCGCCCTCGCGCCGCCAGGGAACCTGAACCATTTTTTTTCCTGCCCGTCCTTCTAACTTCTTCACCATTTAATGACTCGCGGAGTGGATTCACCTCGATTGCTTTGCTACGGCTCTTTCCGACCTCCCCCTCGAATTATCCCTCCACAACCTCTGCGCCTATGCTGCATGCCTAAGCTCGTCCTCCTCTCCTCCCTTCCCCCCCCCACCCCCCCCCCCCCCAGGATGAAGTACTACAACCACTGTCTCTTCCACCGCGTGCACCGTGACTTCATCGTGCAGACCGGCGATCCCACCGGCACCGGCGCTGGCGGTGACTCCGTGTACAAGTGCGTGGGTGGGGTGGGGTGGGGGGCAGGGGGTGGCGAGGTGACGCCATGTGCAGGTCAGGTCAGGTCGCTGTGAGAATGAGCAACTGCTGAGCCCAAACCGTTGTTCTTCAAACCCAGTCGAGCCAGTTCAATTAAGTTGAACCGAAACCGAGGGGAGAGGAGTTCAAGGTTCGCCAAATGTGGTCGAATTGAACCTTTTACGGGCCGGGTCAAGCAGTTTGCTGATTGACACAAAGCTGTCCGGGTTGGGTTTGGCAACGACATCAGCGCAGGTCTGAGCGCCAAGTCTTCAATTCGCAATCCCTTTTGCCATTGTCCTGATTTTCCAGTTTCCGCCTCAAACCTATGTTGGTTTGGCACAAACCTAACACTCATTGATTCAGCCATGGTTCAAAGGCGGCTTGGCGCCTAAAGCTAGACTGACTCGATCGGTTCGACCGGAAAAATAGCTGGCTGGCTCAACTCGAACCAAATTAACAAGAAGAACGAATGGAACGAAGGAACGGGGTGTGAGAACTGTGCGCACTGGTAGGTGTGAGAACTGTGCGCACTGGTAGGTGTGAGAACTGTGCGCACTGGTACGTGTGAGGGGCAAGGGTTGGTGAGGTGAGTCCCCGTGCCACACCACACACCCACTCCCCCGCTACAGTTCCCAAACCCAAAACCCCTTTTCACCACCCCCCTCCCTCTTTCCCTTTGGTACGGCAATGGCAGGTTTCTGTACGGCGAGCAGGCGCGGTTCTTTGAGGATGAGATCCGGCCGGGGCTGAAGCACGACAAGGTGGGCGTGGTCGCCATGGCCAGTGGAGACACCAACCACAACGCCTCCCAGGTGATCCCCACCGCCGCTCTCAGGTGATACTCGCCTCAGGTAATTTTCACTGCCTATCAGGTGATTTTCACCGGCTCAGATGATTTTAAAAGCCTCCCAGGTGATTCTAAAAGCCTCTCAGGTGATTCTTAACGCCTCTCAGGTGATTCCCACCGCCTCTCAGGTCAGGTGTTCGTTTAATATCTCCCTTGTTAGTTCATGCAGGCCACATTTTCTCCATCTCCCCCCACCCACCACCACCACTCACCACGTCATAAAAACCCGCTCTCGCGTATGCAAAGGCACAATCATAGGCACTTTTCTCAACCCTATTTTCAGCACAGGATTAGTGAAATTTCTGGCTCGGCTCATTTTGTCTCATCCTTGCATTTCCCCCGCCCTCCCCTTCCATATTCCCCTCCCGCGCTCCCTCCCCCACCCTTCCCTCCCCTGCTGCCCTGTGCTGCTGCCCTGCCGTGCCGCCCCCTCTAGTTCTACATCACCACGCGGGCTGGGCTGGACTCACTGGATGGCAAGCACACGGTGAGTGCCATTCCATGTGCTTCTCCTCTCTCTTCCCTTTCTCCTCCTTGCCCACCACTCGTTGCTCAAATGCATCACACCACATACATCACACCGCATGTATGGCACCTCATGCAAGGCACGACATACATCACACCGCATGCATGGCACCGCATGCATGGCACCGCATGCATGGCACCGCATGCATGGCACCGCATGCATGGCACCGCATGCATGGCACCGCATGCATGGATCTCTGCACGGTGGGCGTGGCGGGCATGACACCGCATTCTTGTGTGGCTCAGCCACCCCACATCTAACCACACTCAATCACCACACATCTTCGTCTCTCATGCACGCGGATCGGCATGGCATGGCGTGGCGTTGCATGGCATGGCATGGCATGGCATGGCATGGCATGGCATGGCATGGCGTGGCGTGGCGTGGCGTGGCGTGGCGTGGCGTGGCGTGGCGTGGCGTGGCGTGGCATGGCATGGCACGGCATGGCACGGCATGGCATGGCACGGCATGGCATGGCATGGCACGGCATGGCATGGCATGGCACGGCATGGCATGGCATGGCATCAGATATTTGGCGAGGTGGCGGAGGGGTTGGACACGCTGCAGCGCATCAACGAGGCCTTTGTGGACGACAACGGCCGCCCCTTCAAGAACATCCGGTACGCACTTCTGTTGCTGCCACTGCCGTTGCCGCTGCTGCAGCCGCTGCTGCTGCCACTGCAGTTGAGGGTCGTGTGGCATGCACACAGCTGGTGGCATGCACACAGCTGGTGGCATGCACACAGCTGCTGGCATGCACACAGCTGGTGGCATGCACACAGCTGGTGGCATGCACACAGCTGGTGGCATGCACACAGCTGGTGGCATGCACACAGCTGGTGGCATGCACACAGCTGGTGGCATGCACACAGCTGGTGGCATGCACACAGCTGGTGGCATGCACACAGCTGGTGGCATGCACACAGCTGGTGGCATGCACACAGCTGGTGGCATGCACACAGCTGGTGGCATGCACACAGCTGCTGGCATGCACACAGCTGGTGGCATGCACACAGCTGCTGGCATGCACACAGCTGGTGGCATGCACACAGCTGGTGGCATGCACACAGCTGCTGGCATGCACACAGCTGCTGGCATGCACACAGCTGCTGGCATGCACACAGCTGCTGGCATGCACACAGCTGCTGGCATGCACACAGCTGCTGGCATGCACACAGCTGGTGGCATGCACACAGCTGGTGGCATGCACACAGCTGCTGGCATGCACACAGCTGCTGGCATGCACACAGCTGGTGGCATGCACACAGCTGCTGGCATGCACACAGCTGGTGGCATGCACACAGCTGGTGGCATGCACACAGCTGGTGGCATGCACACAGCTGGTGGCATGCACACAGCTGCTGGCATGCACACAGCTGCTGGCATGCACACAGCTGCTGGCATGCACACAGCTGGTGGCATGCACACAGCTGCTGGCATGCACACAGCTGCTGGCATGCACACAGCTGCTGGCATGCACACAGCTGCTGGCATGCACACAGCTGGTGGCATGCACACAGCTGCTGGCATGCACACAGCTGCTGGCATGCACACAGCTGCTGGCATGCACACAGCTGCTGGCATGCACACAGCTGGTGGCATGCACACAGCTGCTGGCATGCACACAGCTGCTGGCATGCACACAGCTGCTGGCATGCACACAGCTGCTGGCATGCACACAGCTGCTGGCATGCACACAGCTGCTGGCATGCACACAGCTGCTGGCATGCACACAGCTGCTGGCATGCACACAGCTGCTGGCATGCACACAGCTGCTGGCATGCACACAGCTGCTGGCATGCACACAGCTGGTGGCATGCACACAGCTGCTGGCATGCACACAGCTGCTGGCATGCACACAGCTGGTGGCATGCACACAGCTGGTGGCATGCACACAGCTGCTGGCATGCACACAGCTGGTGGCATGCACACAGCTGGTGGCATGCACACAGCTGCTGGCATGCACACAGCTGCTGGCATGCACACAGCTGCTGGCATGCACACAGCTGCTGGCATGCACACAGCTGCTGGCATGCACACAGCTGGTGGCATGCACACAGCTGGTGGCATGCACACAGCTGGTGGCATGCACACAGCTGGTGGCATGCACACAGCTGGTGGCATGCACACAGCTGGTGGCATGCACACAGCTGGTGGCATGCACACAGCTGGTGGCATGCACACAGCTGGTGGCATGCACACAGCTGGTGGCATGCACACAGCTGGTGGCATGCACACAGCTGCTGGCATGCACACAGCTGGTGGCATGCACACAGCTGCTGGCATGCATACAGCTGGTGGCATGCACACAACATGCACACAGCTGCTGGCATGCACACAGCTGCTGGCATGCACACAGCTGCTGGCATGCACACAGCTGCTGGCATGCACACAGCTGCTGGCATGCACACAGCTGCTGGCATGCACACAGCTGCTGGCATGCACACAGCTGGTGGCATGCACACAGCTGCTGGCATGCACACAGCTGGTGGCATGCACACAGCTGGTGGCATGCACACAGCTGCTGGCATGCACACAGCTGGTGGCATGCACACAGCTGGTGGCATGCACACAGCTGGTGGCATGCACACAGCTGCTGGCATGCACACAGCTGCTGGCATGCACACAGCTGCTGGCATGCACACAGCTGCTGGCATGCACACAGCTGCTGGCATGCACACAGCTGCTGGCATGCACACAGCTGCTGGCATGCACACAGCTGCTGGCATGCACACAGCTGCTGGCATGCACACAGCTGCTGGCATGCACACAGCTGCTGGCATGCACACAGCTGCTGGCATGCACACAGCTGCTGGCATGCACACAGCTGCTGGCATGCACACAGCTGCTGGCATGCACACAGCTGCTGGCATGCACACAGCTGCTGGCATGCACACAGCTGCTGGCATGCACACAGCTGCTGGCATGCACACAGCTGCTGGCATGCACACAGCTGCTGGCATGCACACAGCTGCTGGCATGCACACAGCTGCTGGCATGCACACAGCTGCTGGCATGCACACAGCTGCTGGCATGCACACAGCTGCTGGCATGCACACAGCTGCTGGCATGCACACAGCTGCTGGCATGCACACAGCTGCTGGCATGCACACAGCTGCTGGCATGCACACAGCTGCTGGCATGCACACAGCTGCTGGCATGCACACAGCTGCTGGCATGCACACAGCTGCTGGCATGCACACAGCTGCTGGCATGCACACAGCTGCTGGCATGCACACAGCTGGTGGCATGCACACAGCTGCTGGCATGCACACAGCTGCTGGCATGCACACAGCTGCTGGCATGCACACAGCTGCTGGCATGCACACAGCTGCTGGCATGCACACAGCTGGTGGCATGCACACAGCTGCTGGCATGCACACAGCTGCTGGCATGCACACAGCTGCTGGCATGCACACAGCTGCTGGCATGCACACAGCTGGTGGCATGCACACAGCTGCTGGCATGCACACAGCTGGTGGCATGCACACAGCTGGTGGCATGCACACAGCTGCTGGCATGCACACAGCTGCTGGCATGCACACAGCTGCTGGCATGCACACAGCTGCTGGCATGCACACAGCTGCTGGCATGCACACAGCTGCTGGCATGCACACAGCTGGTGGCATGCACACAGCTGCTGGCATGCACACAGCTGGTGGCATGCACACAGCTGGTGGCATGCACACAGCTGCTGGCATGCACACAGCTGCTGGCATGCACACAGCTGCTGGCATGCACACAGCTGCTGGCATGCACACAGCTGCTGGCATGCACACAGCTGCTGGCATGCACACAGCTGGTGGCATGCACACAGCTGGTGGCATGCACACAGCTGGTGGCATGCACACAGCTGGTGGCATGCACACAGCTGGTGGCATGCACACAGCTGGTGGCATGCACACAGCTGCTGGCATGCACACAGCTGGTGGCATGCACACAGCTGGTGGCATGCACACAGCTGCTGGCATGCACACAGCTGGTGGCATGCACACAGCTGGTGGCATGCACACAGCTGCTGGCATGCACACAGCTGGTGGCATGCACACAGCTGCTGGCATGCACACAGCTGCTGGCATGCACACAGCTGCTGGCATGCACACAGCTGCTGGCATGCACACAGCTGCTGGCATGCACACAGCTGCTGGCATGCACACAGCTGCTGGCATGCACACAGCTGCTGGCATGCACACAGCTGCTGGCATGCACACAGCTGCTGGCATGCACACAGCTGCTGGCATGCACACAGCTGCTGGCATGCACACAGCTGCTGGCATGCACACAGCTGGTGGCATGCACACAGCTGCTGGCATGCACACAGCTGCTGGCATGCACACAGCTGCTGGCATGCACACAGCTGCTGGCATGCACACAGCTGCTGGCATGCACACAGCTGCTGGCATGCACACAGCTGCTGGCATGCACACAGCTGCTGGCATGCACACAGCTGCTGGCATGCACACAGCTGCTGGCATGCACACAGCTGCTGGCATGCACACAGCTGCTGGCATGCACACAGCTGCTGGCATGCACACAGCTGCTGGCATGCACACAGCTGCTGGCATGCACACAGCTGGTGGCATGCACACAGCTGCTGGCATGCACACAGCTGCTGGCATGCACACAGCTGCTGGCATGCACACAGCTGCTGGCATGCACACAGCTGCTGGCATGCACACAGCTGCTGGCATGCACACAGCTGCTGGCATGCACACAGCTGCTGGCATGCACACAGCTGCTGGCATGCACACAGCTGCTGGCATGCACACAGCTGCTGGCATGCACACAGCTGCTGGCATGCACACAGCTGCTGGCATGCACACAGCTGCTGGCATGCACACAGCTGCTGGCATGCACACAGCTGGTGGCATGCACACAGCTGGTGGCATGCACACAGCTGGTGGCATGCACACAGCTGGTGGCATGCACACAGCTGGTGGCATGCACACAGCTGCTGGCATGCACACAGCTGGTGGCATGCACACAGCTGGTGGCATGCACACAGCTGCTGGCATGCACACAGCTGCTGGCATGCACACAGCTGCTGGCATGCACACAGCTGCTGGCATGCACACAGCTGCTGGCATGCACACAGCTGCTGGCATGCACACAGCTGCTGGCATGCACACAGCTGCTGGCATGCACACAGCTGCTGGCATGCACACAGCTGCTGGCATGCACACAGCTGGTGGCATGCACACAGCTGCTGGCATGCACACAGCTGCTGGCATGCACACAGCTGCTGGCATGCACACAGCTGCTGGCATGCACACAGCTGCTGGCATGCACACAGCTGCTGGCATGCACACAGCTGCTGGCATGCACACAGCTGCTGGCATGCACACAGCTGCTGGCATGCACACAGCTGCTGGCATGCACACAGCTGCTGGCATGCACACAGCTGCTGGCATGCACACAGCTGCTGGCATGCACACAGCTGGTGGCATGCACACAGCTGGTGGCATGCACACAGCTGCTGGCATGCACACAGCTGGTGGCATGCACACAGCTGGTGGCATGCACACAGCTGGTGGCATGCACACAGCTGGTGGCATGCACACAGCTGCTGGCATGCACACAGCTGCTGGCATGCACACAGCTGCTGGCATGCACACAGCTG